GATTATGAAATTTGGCAGATGGATGTCAAGATCGTATTCCTCAATGGATTTATTGAGGAAAACATATATATGCAACAACCTGAAAGTTTTGTATCCAATACTGAGAGACACAAGGTGTGCAAATTACATAAATCTATTTATGGATTGAAGCAAGCTTCCAGAAGCTGAAATATGTGGTTTGATGAAACGATCAAAACTTTTGGTTTCATAAAGAATCCGGATGAACCATGTGTATACAAGTGGGTAAAAGATCATGTCATGATTTTCTTCATATTATATGTAGATGACATATTATTAATGGGAAATGATATTGGCATGATGATCGAAGTTAAGATGTGGTTCTCAAAGGCTTTCTCAATGAAAGATTTGGGAGAAGCAATTTACATCGTAGGAATTCACATCTATAGAAATAGAGCAAAAGGACTGATAGGTGATGTGTGCTGAGTGCAACCAAAAATTAAATTACTCTAGTCACAGCTTGTAATCATAGTAAGTACATGTCAATCCACAGAGACTAGCTAATCAGATTACCCAGCTTAATATCACACTGAATTAATGAAATAAAAAGGGAGGAAATTTTACATCTAAAATTAATTGACACAAGAGTAATTACTACTAACATGAATTAAGTAAAGAGAATTTAATAAAAAATGATTTCGACTCAAGGACAATTACCCATGGTTGCAAATTGATCACTGACTTCTAATATATATTATTCTTTAATTGAATATTTAACAAAAGATTATCAAGAAGCCAGACTATCTTTATCTTTCCTAAGTTCATTAATCTGAGCCCAACACACAAATTAATTCTTATCAATAAACCACTTGGTATTACGCAATCCTTATGAATTTACTGATAGCATTACGAATTAGGAAGTAGTTAAAGATGAATAACAATAGAACAAGCGTCGGATTATTTAATTCATTCTATGATTCTTTTAAACAATCAACAAAAGCTTGGATCACAATTTTTTTGCTTAATTACCACTCGAACTGAATATTATAACAATTACGGATTACAAATTCAGTTTAGCAATCAATCGCACAATCAATCAATTAACAGGCCTCTTTAATCAATTAAATCATGCAACCATAATAAATAAAACAAAGAAACACAGATATACAAATATAAGAATAACTAAAATTAAGAACAAAGTCTCACAATTATGCTAACCGGATTGGTGTGAATCGAACAAAAGAAGTTAGCCCGACATGATGAGATGAAAGGCACAAAGAAAAGGAAAAATCAAATTTCGTCCTGTCTCTAACTCTAAAAACCTAGCCGCCTAAAAGCTCTATTTTCTATCTCCCAAAGAAACGTATCAAAACTTCCCTTTTAAAAGCCAACTCCTAAAATTAAGGCAAATAACCAAACCCTTTTAGAAAAACACTTCTCTCTCTCTCTTCAAACCCGCCCTTAATTTGTGCAAGTAAAATTCCAGCTCATACACATGAATTTCCAGCGCTCCAGACTTGTATTGAACTCCCTCTTGAAGTTGGACTAAGTCTTTATACGAGTCATGCAAAAATGATCCAAATCGGCTAAGGTTTAAAGCTTCTAGGCTAAAGCCGTAACTTCCAGGCCAGTTTTGGACAAGACAACGAGCTTTCTGGACTTCAACTCCTTCATAAGAATTGTAGTTCAGGATGTGTACTTCAATTTGGGTTTTTAATCGTCTCATTTGATTCCTGAAACTCCAGTTATGCCCTTTTAAAGCTCCAGTGGTCGAACATAAATCCTACTCCAATTAGGATTCGATTTCAATTTTTAGCTCTGACTTTACACCAACAATTGGAGGCCCAAACGAAGTCGTCTGTGGACGTGCCACCCGAACTTGGAAAGCTTAAGATGTCTACTTTAACTCATAGAATGTCTAAAAACCAAACTGTAACTCCAAGTCCATCAAAAATCTACAAACAGCCCAAAACATCCAAAAGTAAAAACGTTGGAAACTTCTGATTTTACGTATATTTTACTAACTCATGACCACAAATACCTTATACATAAAAGTCATTACAAATAGGCACCATAAGATATTAAACATGCCTAATAAACTAAATGCAAGGATAATAAAAATATAAAATTATAAGTCTATCAATAGGGTTATCTCAAAGCACGTATATAGAGAAAATGTTGAAAAAGTTCAACATGCAAGACTCCAAAAGAGGCTTTTTGCCTTGCGGTCATGGACTATATCTTTCTAAGGATATGAGTCCTAAGACTGATCAGGAGCGACAGCGGATGCGTAATATACCCTACACTTCAGTCGTAGGTAGTCTTATGTATGCAATGCTATGTATAAGGCCTGATATAGCCTATGCTATGAGTGTTGCAAGCATATATCAATCAAATCCAAGAGAGAAACATTGGTCAACTGTTGAAATAATCTTTAAGTACTTGAGAAGGACTAAAGATTTAATACTGAGTTATGGAGGTTCAGAATTGAAAATCCAAGGATACTCAGATTTTGATTTTCAATCAGAAGTGGATGATAGAAAGTTTACGTCTGGATTCATCTTTACATGTAATGGAGGAGTAGTTAGTTGGAAAAGCTCCAAGCAGTCGACCACTGTAGACTCCATTACAGAAGCTAAATATATTGTCGCTTCAGAAGAAGCAGAAGAGGGTGTGTGGACATGCAAATTTGTAGCTGAACTTGATATGGTTCCGAACATAAGTTATCCGATAACCTTGTTTTGTGACAATAATAGTGCTATTGCACAAGCAAAGGAACCAAGAGCACACTAAAAATCAAAACATGTTCAACGTAAATATCATATTTTGAGAGACCTTGTTTGAGCTGGAGAAATTTTGGTGCATAAAACACCTTCAGCAGATAACGTAGCTGACCTACTTACTAAAGCAGTGACACATAAGCAATTAGATCATCATCTTGAGAAGATGGGTATTAGATACCACAATGATTGACTCTAGTGCAAGTGGGAGTTTTGTTAGTATATGCCCTAGGAACCAATCGTGTTGTCGGTTCTAGGGTATTATGTGTATGTATATATACATGTGAAATGTTTGGATGATACAAATCTTTAGAAGATCAAAACCATCAAAGTATTTTCTACACAAGTAATAGTAATTGGGCAATAATATTACATAGTAGGCATGCTAAATGCCTCCGTTAAATATCATGTGATGATATTAGTTTGTGTGATTATAAAAGTTAAGCGGTTAGTAAACTGTTTATCGAATATAGCCATTTATGATGAGTCACATGGACATTTAAAATGCAGTCAATAATGCATCATAAGATCGTACTAGTGTACTATTAATCTTTAGACATGAGATATCACGATTGGATTCCGCATAAACGCATATGGTTCACATGGTGTATAAACACGAGGCTAATCATATCATGTGTAAAAAAGCTGATTTGGCCATGTGTTATTTATTTGTGAAGACAAGTGATATTCAAGATGGGATCCATTGGCTTGGTATGGGTTGATATCAAGTTCTTAGACAAATGTCAAGATACATTGGAAAAGAGAAATCTTCGGCCTGGGTATATAAAATGTTACCTGAGAGGTTGTTTAATGGTGACACGTTCCAAATGTATTAATTGTCAATTTGATATAAGATTAAAACAAGGATTTTGACATACTATGAATCTGTTCTTAATCGGGATTAAACAACGGAGAGATTATATTACATGTTGTGCACGATTATAAAAGGGTTCATTATATTATATTTTTGTTGTGACTTAGGGGTTATAAAACATTGCTAGATGTCTACCATAATCGGTGAGAGTTTCAGTCATAAAGAGTTATGACGAAACATATCGAAATAGACTACGATATTGGGCCCACGGTGAACCTAAGAGGTCACAAATAAAAACTAAGGAAAATGAAGGAATAGCCAAAGAGAATTGATTATCCAAGGTTGGCTAATACCTACCAAGGGTAATAAAATTATTTATATTAAAATCATTGAATTAGATTCAATGGAGGGTTATATTAGTAATTATGAATAATTTAAGAGTTAAATTGCTAATTGAATTAAATGGAATTCCAATTCATAATTAATTATTTTCTTTATATTAAATTGGATTAATATTGGGCTGTAATTGTAAACATATAAACAATTTAAGGGTTAAATTATTATGTAAACAATTTAAGAGTTAAATTGTTAATTATGATTAAATGTTAATCCAATTTCATAATTATGGAATTAGTTATAACCATAAAAGAATTATGAAATTGCATAAGGGCATCCTTAAACAATTATTGAATTGTTTATTGGCTCATCTATATAAAGAAAATGATATTCAATTTTTAATAGAATGAAAAATTGAAAAAACCCTAGCATTTTTCTCTCCTTGGTCGAATTCTCTCTTTCAACTTGGTGTGGACTTTCTTTTGCTAATTTCTCTGAAATTGGAAGATCTCCTAGCTACTAAGGAACTAAGGTAATAAGTTTTTACCTTATTTAATTCAAGTTTTTTGAAATTTAAAAAAAAAAAAAAAACCTAATATGCATAATAGAATGATATATGCTTCTAATTCATGTTCTTTCATGCAATCCATCTTTCACTTCTTTTACGGATATAATGATTGAGTTAAATGGGTAGTTGATACTTACTATAAACTAATAAATATACTTCTTCAATAGCGTTCCTTATCCATATGAAAACAATTTAATGCGATTGAGTTTTAGCTGACTCGAGTTTGTTCAAGCTCATTGCATGTGATTTGTTAATTTGATTGGAGATAGTTTTTTATGGGCTTCCTCTAATTTTTTTTTTTTTTTTTTTTTGCTAAGTTGGTTTCCTATTGTTACAAACAACCAAATTTGGTTTATTAGTTATCTTTAGCTTATCATAAACTCTTTGAGCCTTTCACCAATCAATGATTTTTCTACTATAAGTTGAAATGTTAATTGTCTTGATGTTTTTGTACTGAAGCATTGTACATGTTGTAGATTCCATAATCTTTACACGGTGAAATTCCTTTAACAATATACTTTCCAGGTGCAGTATAACCATTATTGAACATATTCATGACAGCATTGGTACACGAAAAGTTCTCACCATCTTAGTATTAGATTTTAAACAATTGTCATGATTTATAATACATAATACACAAAATTTGTCATTAAGACATCTCTGAAGGTGAAACTTTTTTATATTCCCATTCGTGTTCTTTCCATTCAGGCAGTTGTTGATGACAACCTGCAGCAAATATGAAAAAGCTTCATCCAATTTTGGTACAATAGCAGTCCATCAAAATAGATGTTGAATAGCACTAATTGAAAACCATGACAAAGTGGAAGAAGAAAGATTACAGACCAGCCCTGTATGTCCAGGAATTCCAACAGTGGTTTGGCAAGCCAATCTCCAGATTTTTGGTTGCTGCATAAAACCCATCAACACCAGCATTACTAACTCTTCGAAACAATTATTTTCACCTCATCGCCAATTATATTAGATTATGAAATATTTCCTTAAAATTATTCTTACCCTCTTAAGATTTTGTCAAAATGTTGATGATATTTCACTGCGCAACAATTTAAAGAATTCAAAATATCAGAATGATAAGGAGAAAAATTGTCAACCCGGCACCATAAATCAGGAATTTTGGGAGGTGAAAGGATAAAATTAGTAGGATTTTCTTGTAGAGCTCTGCGAGGCATTTCTCTTTGGTCCACTTTTGGCGATGCAAAAGTACATTTCGGTTCCAAAATGTCACTGCAAAATAAATGTTTAACGCACTGCAATTTTAAAAATAAAATTAATCAATCATTTCTGGGAAGCTTGAAGAAAAATATTTGTTTTTAATAGGAACTGGACTGCTAATCATCTTACTTTTTCGTAAAGTTCATAAGCAGCTACACATTTTGTATTGGCTGGATCTATATTCACATAGTTCTCATTGCACTGTACTTTGAGGTCCTGAAAAATTGCAGAATCTAGAAATAAAAAATCCATAGTCGAAAAGAAACAGAATTAATTAAAAAGAAAAAATATATATACACAAAATTAAATATATCTAAAATCACCTCATTGAGGTCATTAGATATAAGCGTTGCCCAAACAGACACCTACATGCTTTTCAAGATCTGGCTGCTTACCAGCAGCTGCCCAAACATAGCTGTAGGCGGCTGTAGCACAGAAATTTTACAGTAACAATCAAAGGATTTTCATCTTATTCGGCAAAAAAGTTGTGTTTCTCCAAACATTTTAGTTTTCAAAGCATTTGAGGAATAAATAAACGTGAGCTGAAATAAGAAAAATATAAATATAATATGCTTGCCTGTAAGGACTCCTCTTGAACTTCTCTGCAACTGCTAACGTCATCTCAAGGTACTTATTTCTCCCATAGTCCCATCAGCCTCGAAGTCCAAAATGTCGAGAAGGAAAGAAACAAAACAGATGGCTGCAGAGCCATACTTCTCTTCCATAACATCCTATGTGAAAAGATTACAGTTTCATAAATCCACAAGATATGCATTATCAATAGAAAAGAAAAGGAAGAACCTGGGTCTCTGACAGTAGTATTGACAGAATACCCCTTCTGAAGCAATAGCTCGATGAGCAAAGATGCGACATGTCCAGTGCCACCCACAACAAAAGCAATCTTTTTTTCCGTGAAATTCAATTCAATCAAAGAAACCCTAGCTTTCAATAGAAAAAAAAACCAAGAAAAATAAGAAAAAAAAAAAGAAAAGAGAAATTGAGAATAATAAGACTTAGATAGATCACTGTGAGAATTACCTTAACCGAAGCAAGAATTAGTATTGAGAAATTGAATCAATTATTTAGTAGGAATCAAACTGCAGTGGATTTGAGAGACAAATTAGAGAAGAACCGTACCGGTATTTGCAGAATCATGACACCGAAATAGAAAATCATCTGCGCCAGATCACTGGAATGCTAGTCAGTTGCTCTGACGGCGATTATTATAATATTTTTTTATTGATTTCTTTAATTATTAATTCAATATAAAATAAAATTTAAAAAATAATAATAATAAACATGCGCAACGTAGGGACGTGCCACCCAGTTTTACTTACAAAAGTAAATTTATACACTTATAATTAAAATGTTCAAAGCCCCGCTCAAATGATATTAAAATTAATACTATTATTTCCATTCTTGTCTCGTAATTAAAATACTATTTGATATAATTTAATTGAATATTAAGTTCTTCTCATAACTATTCTTTTCGAGTTAAGATTTTCGTTTCATAGAAAATCTATTATTTCCCTTTTAATTTTAAATATAAGCTTCTATATTTATAAATAAAATGTTAAAATAGCCACTTCTCTCTTTCAATAATTTTCTAAAGATTAATTTTTTTAAAGTCTAAAGAAAAAGGAAAAATAGTTCAACATCATTATCAATTTATAATCTGGACTAATTTCAAATTCTTTTTTTCTTTTTAAATTACTAAGATTGTTATAACAAAAAAAACTATAATACAAGGGAGGTACCAACTTAGAATGTTGAGTTGGTAACACTAATCACTCATAATTTAACATTTGTCTAAAAAAAAAAATCATTGTTTCTTTTTTTTCAAAAATTATATAAGCGAGACGGTAGAACTACCATTGGTTTTGCACACCACTACTATTGTCGGAGACTTTGGTAGATATCACTCACAAAACCGTGTTCAAAATATTGTATTCATCAAAATAAAAGTCTATTCATGAATCTCATAATTATCCGACAAATCTAAATGATATGATTAAAATTTTCGATACAATTTTCACGGTCGCCATCCTTTCCACCACTGTGAAAACCAACCAGTGGATTATCAGCTCTTTCATTTTTAAACTCCTACCCAACCGATTTAATATTCCTTCACCATTGAATTACTGCTCATCCAATATGCATTTCCCTGATTTGGTTTACCTCATTTGCCTTTGCTGGGAAATAACCCAAAAGTAAAATCGTCGTGTATTTGGTTTATTACATTTTAGTCCTACTCCTTATTTTAATATGGTCTTCTATTTCATACTTCATTTACATTTAACCCTCAATTGTCTTTATTAATTTTAAGTTAAATAAACAGATGTCAAGTTATGCATAGTAGACCTGGCAAAACGGGTCCGACCTGCAACCCGTATCCGGGTAAAAAATATAAGGTACGAATCTAATAAATTGAACCCGTTTTTTTTACCCGTATCCAGCCCGACCCATGTAACTGACGGGTTAAAGGGGTGAACCCGCGGGTACCTGTTTTTGCAAAATGTAAAAAGCTAAAAAGTGACCTACCCTAACTCAGCAAAACTCTATCCCGCGCCACGCCTCTCATCTCTCTCGCGTCTCAATCTTCAACATAAGCCTCTCAATCTCTGATCGGTCAACTGAGTAACTCCCTCTTCGATAGTTCGATTAATCGTCACTCGTCAATCATCACTCATCAGTACGACAGTCCCTGATTCATTCATCCAGTCCGTCATTCCCATTCCCAATACCACAGATGACGGTCGCCGTCACTCATCCTCGTCGGTTGGTCATCTCCTCTCTCTCACATCGTCGATTAGTAAACAATTGCCTTGGTTTTCGACTAGCTTATGTTATTGAAAGTTTCTGCCTTTGAAGGGTTCTTAACTTAATCTTATGATTTCCTAAAATTAGGAGATAATTTGAAGATGCGACATGCTATGTTACTTTTGGAATCCAATTTTCCCTTTGTTAAAGCTATGGGAGCTCATAAAGTAGCCCGTTTTGTAACAGATGGTAAAAGTTTGTTCTTTCTTCTTTAATGACATTATTGTTAAGATTGGAGATTGTTTATGGATTGCATCTGATATTGTCATTTTGTTTTGCTATTGGTCACAAATGAAAGGAGGATGAACATGGTGGAGATTTGTGGTGCGTAGGAGCTTGTATATATGTTGGGGGATGCTGAAGACTATGATACACGGATAGGAGCACTGAAGGCTCTTGCTGCCCTTTCTGGCTTAGGTTAGTTATGTTTGCATTTCAGATGCTCTTATGAGTTAATCTATGGATATAAAAGAGAATATGATAACATTTACTAATATGTTGTAGCTGTCAAACAATAGTTGAGAGGCAAATTTGTGTAGGGTAAGTGAACCATGAGTAATCACCCACGAGAAGCTATATTATGCCCTGAAGTGGGCAAATTGAATGTAGAGATCCATAAGACTTTTGTGTTTGAAATGTGGAATGGAGTAAGTGATGCCTATTATTGCAAATATTTGTTTTCCCATTGTCCTGTTACACAGACGAAGCAGTTGGAGCTTTACATCGTGTTGGGGCAATATCAGTTATAAAATCCATTCCACGATCCTCTGATGGGGCAATATTATTTTTGGGGCCACTCCAGAATCCTTTGAGGCTGATATCGAGAAATACAAGTCAAGCCTACTGAAGAGATTCCAAGATCTGAGATATGATATATCATCCTGAGATTGTGTGATGATAAAACTAGCTTGTTCAACTTTAAACGTGAGACACAGTTTTGTTAGGAACCAATCTCCGAAATTAGAAGAGAGATGTTTTTCACCTGGGAAAATTAAAGTGCCTCGTATCTTCTTGTTCACTCTAATAAAACGAGTTGAAAGCTTATCCTTCATGCAATTGTTTTTATCTCTCATATGCAACAATATTTTCTGTTTGCTTATTTTGTGTAACTGGTGGTAAATCATAGGGGTCTATATGCCGATGTCTCTGATTAGTATTGAAAAAACGTGTTTCTCTGCTCTAAAGTTGACAATTTAGTGTATTAAATTATTGTGTACTAGGCAAGGCATGCATCGTTGATGGCTTTGTTCATGACCTTGGTAATTCGTTTGGCTGTGAGGCAGACTCATGCCAACATGTGTATATTTGTATTGAGGCAATGGAGCTGTCAACTTAAAAGAGTTGATTAGGGGGTGTAAATGTAAAAAATTAAAACTGCAGGAATTTTGGGGGTGTAACTGTCATAATTAAAAATTATTAGGGGTGAAATAAAAACTAAAATTTGGAGAGAGAAAAAACGGGTCCACCCGTACCCATATAGGGTAGGGCACGGGTCCAATATTTTTGACCCGTATATAGACCCGTACCCGTTTGACCCGGCCCACCCACCCGTTTTGCCAGGTCTAATGCATAGGTACCTAGCTAATGGTATCAATTACCCTGGTAATATATCTTATAAAAAAAATGTTATTTAATATTCTTATTTTTTTAATTAAATATAAAACACCTAATTTTAAAACTTTTACCTTAATCCCCAAATCTCTTTAAGCTAGCCTTGCAACAAACACATTGTTATATTATATCAAAGTTAATTGCATAATCTCTTTATCGTTAAGTTTTAGATGTTAAAATAAACAATAGACGAGTAATTTAGTAATATTTACTAATTCATCACAGTGCAAATTTTAACAATTCATTAAAAATAAATGAATTTTTGTTATTTCCAAAACCTTGGAAAAATTTTATTATTCCGTCATAACTTAAGAAGATTAAGGTCATTTAACTCATTATATCATTAAGTATCATCATTCATCCACCCAACTTGTCTTTAGTTCTGCTAATTAGGTAGAAAAGAAACAAAATTCCACCCATTAAAAAATGAGTCAATCTTTTTTTTTTTTTCTGGGTACTCAAATTAGTTTGTAGGTATCTCAATTAATTCTTACTAAAATGTGAACATTTAGTAAGACTCAAACACAAAATATCTAACTAACTTAAGGTCTTTATCATTGAATTACAAGTTAAGTGGTTAAATGAGTCCATTATTGATACCTAAACAACTCCCAAAGGGTGTTCTCGTAAAAAGAAAAAAAAATTGGAATTTCTTCTCCTTTAAGGTAAAGGAGCACTGGTACAGTTACCAGAAAATGCATACCAAATTATCCTCTTTTGTAAAAAAAATTATAATTAACGGAGGGCATAATGATGCCACGTGTAATTTGGTATACATTTTATTTGTGACTGTATCATTTTTCTTAGGCAAAGTATTACTTTCACAGTGACAACGAAGAAAAGAATCTAAAAGATTTGGATGTTACTTGTCCTTTTCTCACCCCAGTCCATCCCCAGACAATTTGCATCCTTTCTTCCTTCTTGCTCCCCATAATCTCTCCCAACACACTCTCCGCCTTTCTAAAATGAGCTCCACTAAAACAAACTCCGATCAACCACCCAAGCTCAACCTCCCATGGAAAACAAGGATCGCCATTTCATTTCTCTCCGCTCTTACCGACACATGTCGTCGCTCCGACGGTACTATCAACCGTCGGCTCATCAAGTTTTTGGACTTTCAGACTTCTCCCAATTATAAACCCATAAACTCCGTTTCCACCTCCGACACCACCGTCGATCCTGCCCGCAATCTCTGGTTCCGTACCTTTTCTCCCATCTCAGTCTCCGGCCCCACCCCCGTTGTCATTTTCTTACACGGAGGTGGCTTCACTTTCCTAAGCGCTGCCTCTAAAGCCTACGACGCCGTTTGCCGCCGTTTCGCGCGTAAAATCCCTGCATTTGTTATTTCTGTTAATTATCGTCTGTCCCCTGAACATCGCTACCCTTGTCAATACGACGACGCATTTGATGTTCTTAAATTTTTGGATGACAAGGCAATACTTCCACAAAATGCTGACTTGTCAAAAGTTTTTCTTGCCGGTGATAGTGCAGGTGCTAATATAGCTCACCATGTGGCAGTTCGAGCCTGTCGGGCTCAATTTCGGGTGTTGAAGATAATCGGGCTGGTTTCAATCCAACCGTTTTTTGGTGGTGAAGAGAGGACTGAATCCGAGACCCGATTAAAGGGGTCACTTTTGGTTTCATTGGCCCGAACCGATTGGATATGGAAGGTGTATTTGCCAGACGGGTCAAACCGAGACCACGAGGCAGCTAATGTGAGG